ATGGCGTGGGGCGGGTTCGCTTACCTCGTCCGGGAATGGCGGATGCTTCAGCTGACCGTGTCTTTGCTGTGTCTGGCCTTCTTGCCTACTCTGTGGTAAGTTTCGATGAGATTTCTGTGATACAACTTTCGATATCTGTGTCTATCTCTCACTATCTCTTTCTCTGCCTGTCTCTGTCTCTGTCTCTCTCTCTCTCTCTTATCTGCAAAGTTCACAGAGTCACTAAAGTTAACGGAAAAGTCCTGGTGTGATAGACCCTGAACTCCTTCCTTCGTCAATGTCTTCCCTTTTCCTTAACCCTTCTCTTCCCATCCATCCCATCATCCAGCCGCTTCTCTTTCTACCATCCGTCTTCTCCCACCCTCCTCCTCCTCCTCCTCCTCTCCCCCTCCTTCCTCCTCCTTCACCTCCTCCTCCTCCTCCTCACCTCCTCCTTCACCTCCTCTGGATTATCCTATTAGTTCATGGACGAGTCGCCTCGGTGGCTGGCCGTGAGGGGGCAGCACCGGCGCGCCCTCCGAGTGCTGCAGAGGGCCGCCAGGTGGAACGGGGTCGCCCTCCCCCGAGGACGAGCTTCTGCTCCTGCTCAAGGACGGAGTCAAGGACGAGGTGCGAGCGCGTGCTTGTGCGCATGTGTAAAAGGAACACACTTTATCATATATATATATATATATATATATATATATATATATATATATATATATATATGTGTGTGTGTGTGTGTGTGTGTGTGTGTGTGTGTGTGTGTGTGTGTGTGTGTGTGTGTTATATATATTTTTTTTTTATCAATTTTCCTCGAAATATAAATCCTGTCACTAATCATGCTTCTGAATATACAATACAAGACAGAAGAATAATCCTGGTTCATAATCCTTTTATTTATTGTATTTTCTTTATCACTTGATCCCGTGACGTAGGCAATGGTACGCCCGCACCAAGACGCCCGCGCCACACCGCGAGAGGCTGGTTCAGAAGGCGTTTGGATGAAGCATTTATTCTTTTCAGGCAGGTCCACTTTTCCCTCTTCCTCCCTCCCTTCCTCCTCCTCTTTCTATTCCTCCTCCTCCTCCTCCTTATCCTTCTTCATTCCTTCCTCATCGTCCTCCTCTCCTCCTCTTCCTTCTGCCAAAACTTTCCTTATACATTGCTGAAATATATCATACGATTCTTATATGAATGAAAAATCTGTATATCTTGTCTGTATATTTTGATTTCGTGGAAATATTGCATTTCTCTGACATATTTCGCTATGTCGGTTACTGAAAGCGTGCAGAGGATGTAGTCTCAAACCCACAGAATTATTTTGATTATAAGAGCAATATGAATGGTATTAGTAATAGTGATAAAATTAACGAAGATGACAATGATAGTAAAGACAATATATCCTCCTACAAAGACGATACTCATTTTGCTTCTCCACCACTCCCCCACACCCTCTCACACCCTCGCCCCCTCACCCAACAGAACCCCCCGCCTTCGCACCATCACCCTCAGCCTGTACACCAACTACCTACTGGTGGGTGCTGTGTACTTCGGCCTCTCGCTCAGCGGCGGCGACCTGAGCTCCGACCCGTTCCTGTACATGGTGCTGACGGGGGTCGTGGAGCTGCCGGCCTACACGCTGGTCATCCCCCTGGTGGCTCGCTACGGCAGGAGGGCTCCCGTTGTCGCCTTCTTCTTCATGGGCGCCGTGGCTCTTCTCGCACTGCCCTTCGTGCCCACGGGTGAGTGAGGTTGTCTGGGGTGGAGGTTTTGTTTCATGAAATATGTATAAGGTTTCATAATGAAAAATCTGAGAAAAATGAAAGCATGATTTCCTTCTTTCTCATCTTGTTCTTTTTTGTTCGTGTTGTTTCTTATGCCAAACAAAATTAGGAATTTACTGTCTACAAACATGTCTTCAGTCAATACCAAGAAGTTTCCCTGACAATCAAAACAAAGTAAAACATTTAGCATAGAATACCTTTTAAATAATATAATAGAAAACGTTATTTAAAAAATTATAAGGGGAACTAAAATAATATTTAATTTTCCTCTCAGGTAGTGGGGAATCGATGACCTTAGCGCTTATGGGGAAGATGAGTATCGCTTCGGCCTTCCAGATCCTCGACTTTTACTCCTCAGAGCTCTTTCCCACCGAGGTTAGGACGAGGGGCATGAGCACAGCCCTTGTCATGTCAAGGGTGGGGTCTACTTGTTCGCCTTTCATCACGGACTACTTGGTAATTTTTTTTCTTCTTTTCTTTTCTTTTTTTCTTTTCTTATTTTCTTTATTTTTAACAGGAATAAATCATGGTGAATGTTATTATTATTTTTTTATGGGAAGGGAATATTATGTAAGTAGTTTGAATGAGCTTGGATGTGTTTTAGATTTTTACCAATCACTCTGCATGACAGCAAGATATGACAGTCTTCTTGCTTTTTGTTTAAATCTCTATGATTTTTATAACGCTCTCTCCCTCCCTCCCATCATCCTCTCTTTTTCTTCCTTCCCTGTTCCTTCCTATTCCTTCCCTCCCTCCCTCCCGTCCTTCCTCCCTCCCTCTCTTTCTTCCTTCCTCCTCTCTTCCTCCCTCCCTCTCTTTTCCTTCCTCTCCTCCTCTCTTTTCTTCCTTCCCTCCCTCTCTTTTCCTCCTTCCCTCCCTCTTCCTCCTCGCCAGGGCCCCTTGTACCCGTGGGCGCCGTCAGCAGTGTTCGGGGCGGCGTCGGTGCTCGCGGGACTGGCCACGCTCGCCCTGCCGGAGACGCTGCACGTGCCTCTCCCGGACACCATCGCACACCTGGAGGAGCGGGAGATCAGGACCAGGTAATTCGGCTGGAGGTTTACTTTGGAGTTGTTCGTCTGTTCCTTTCTTTATCATCCGTTTTTTATTCTTTCTTTATTTATTTTGTTATTGATGTTATCTGTGTTGTTAAGATCATTATCGTTGTCGGTATGATCTCTTCTGTTATTATTTTTATATTCATTTCCTGTTGTTGTTATTGTTTTTTTTTTTTTTTTTCGTCTCCCCTAGTTTACTGTTTTTGCTCTTTTCTGTTTGTTTCTTACCTTTTTCTGTGAGTGATCTTTGCTGCTTTTTCCTTTTGAAAAAACAATATTTTTTTCTCTTTTACCGGTATAATGATTTTGTATGGAATTTTAAATTATAACTCTTGTCGACTAAGAGCTCTTACATTAATATCTGTAATCTCTGTAAAACAGACAGACTGACGGACAGATAAACATATAAGACTGACTGACTGACAGAAGGAAAGACAGAAAGAAATACAGACAAACACTGATAAACAAACGGAAAGATGGACTAAAAGACATATAAACCAAAGGACGGACTGAGACAGACAGACAAACCGAAAGACAAACTAACTGAAGCGACGACCACATAATTATAGCTTTGAGTCCTATTTCCCTTCCTTCCAACAGCGGGTTCCTGCGACTCCCTGTCCGCGATCCAGAATCCTAACACATTTACGATCTAGCCAAGTTGATTTAGGGGAATTCCACTCCTTAGGGTTGATTCCAACTCCTGGGGGATTTCCCAAACTCGTAAGGGATTTCCAACTTTTCCTAGGGGATCCCAAACNTGAGGAAAGCGAGCCAGGTGGCCGTATAGCCTGAGTTGGCGATCACGGATTGTGCAGATAACAGGTCCTGTGCCAGTCTCACGGTGCAACCGTTGGTTGGACACATGGTCCCACCAACAGTGCCCCATGATCTGGCGCAAGGACCTATTACAAAAGGCTTCAAGACGAGCCTCCAAGGCACAGGACAATGTCCAGGTTTCGCTACCGTATAGCAAAACTGGCATTATCAGGGCCTTGAAAACCCGTAGCTTGGTCCTTCTGCACAGGTACCGACATCTCCAAATACTCTTGTTGAGAGAGTTCATGACCCTGCTGCCAGGCCAATCCGTCTGCTGACTTCATGGTCTGACAGCCCAGAGTTATGAACTACACTGCCAAGATATGTAAAGCTCTCTGTGACTTCAATGTCCTCGCCGCAAGCACGTACCGACTGAACAGGTTCTCCTAACAAGTCCCCAAATTCCTGGACCTTGGTCTTGGTCCAGGAGACCTCTAGACCCAAGGGCTTCGCTTCATTGCTAAATGCATCGAGAGCCGCCACTAGGGTTTCCAAAGACTCAGATAGAATGGCAACGTCATCAGCAAAGTCAAGGTCTGTAACCTCAATCACATGACTAACGTTTTTTTTCTTTGACAACGCGTTTAGGTTTGAAACCCTATTTATACCCCCCCCCCCTAAAGCGAAAGATGAGTTGCGTTTGGTTAAACTTGTTTTTATATGCTATATCATAACAGGAATTCTGCAAATCAAGTCCAGGTTTATAGTTCTTAGGCCTTTTGTGCTATCCATAAGATAATTTGTAATAATTGTAATTAAAGTATAACCAAACCTTTCTACATTAAAATATAATTTTTTATTATTTTCGTATATCCACATATTTAGTCTGTTTTGCAAAGCCATACTTTCTCTTCTAAGAATTGGAAAATCTAATGTCAGCAGTCTTATACTATAAAGAGAGTATCACCTTAATTTCATCTTAGGGATATAGGATCCAAAATAACTTAAAATTCTACCATTTAACAGGTACGGGCGTAAGATGACAGTGGCCGTGGGTTTTGTCGCCTACTCCCCTGGCCATCGGCTCCTGCTGGATCCCCAACCTCTCGGCTCTCCTGCTCTCGCGCTTTCTCATGGGCGCCGTCCACCCCACGATACAGAAGACGGGATATATACTAGGTGAGGGGTGGCGGAGGAGGGAGAAGGCAAGGGAAAAGGAACAGGTAGAGAAGGAGGGGAGAAGGTATAGGAAAGGCAGTGGACAGAGATACAGATGGCAATAACGATGAGGATGGAAGAGTGGAGAGAGAGAGAGAGAGAAAGAGAGAGAGAGAGAGAGAGAGAGAAGAGGGGGGGGGGGGAGAATAAAAGAGAAAGAGAGAGTACAAAACCATTTAGAGCGTTATCAATTTTCGCAGGCATGGAGGTCGCGGATCCCAAGTGGCGCACGCATATCGGCATTGCATTGTTTCTGCCATGGGCGCTTAGTCTCATGGCGTGGGGCGGGTTCGCTTACCTCGTCCGGGAATGGCGGATGCTTCAGCTGACCGTGTCTTTGCTGTGTCTGGCCTTCTTGCCTACTCTGTGGTAAGTTTCGATGAGATTTCTGTGATACAACTTTCGATATCTGTGTCTATCTCTCACTATCTCTTTCTCTCTGTCTGTCTGTTTCTGTCTGTCTGTCTGTCTGTCTTCTCTCTCTCTCTTATCTGCAAAGTTCACAGAGTCACTAAAGTTGACGGAAAAGTCCTGGTGTGATTGTCCTTTTTCCTTAACCTTCTCTTCCATCCATCCTCCATCATCCAGCCGCTTCTCTTTCTATCTTCTCCACCCTCCTCCTCTCCCTCCTTCTCCTCCTCTCTCCTCCCTTCCTCCCTCTCCTCCCTCCTCCTTCACCTCCTCTGGATTATCCTATTAGGTTCATGGACGAGTCGCCTCGGTGGCTGGCCGTGAGGGGGCAGCACCGGCGCGCCTCCGAGTGCTGCAGAGGGCCGCCAGGTGGAACGGGGTCGCCCTGCCCCCGAGGACGAGCTTCTGCTCCTGCTCAAGGACGGAGTCAAGGACGAGGTGCGAGCGCGTGCTTGTGCGCATGTGTAAAAGGAACACACTTTATATATATATATATATATATATATATATATATATATATATATATATATATATGTGTGTGTGTGTGTGTGTGTGTGTGTGTGTGTGTGTGTGTGTGTGTGTGTGTGTGTGTGTGTTTATATATATATTTTTTTTTTATCAATTTTCCTCGAAATATAAATCCTGTCACTAATCATGCTTCTGAATATACAATACAAGACAGAAGAATAATCCTGGTTCATAATCCTTTTATTTATTGTATTTCTTTTATCACTTGATCCCGTGACGTAGGCAATGGTACGCCCACCAAGACGCCCGCGCCCACACCGCGAGAGGCTGGTTCAGAAGGCGTTTGGATGAAGCATTTATTCTTTTCAGGCAGGTCCACTTTTCCCTCTTCCTCCCTCCCCTTCCTCTCCTCCTATTCTTTTCTATTCCTCCTCCTCCTCCTCCTTATCCTTCTTCATTCCTTCCTCATCGTCCTCCTCCTCCTCTTCCTTCTGCCAAACTTTCCTTATACATTGCTGAAATATATCATACGATTCTTTATATGAATGAAAAATCTTGTATATCTTGTCTGTATATTTTGATTTCGTGGAAATATTGCAATTTCTCTGACATATTTCGCTATGTCGGTTACTGAAAGCGTGCAGAGGATGTAGTCTCAAACCCACAGAATTATTTTGATTATAAGAGCAATATGAATGGTATTAGTAATAGTGATAAAATTAACGAAGATGACAATGATAGTAAAGACAATATATCCTCCTACAAAGACGATACTCATTTTGCTTCTCCACCACTCCCCCACACCCTCTCACACCCTCGCCCCCTCACCCAACAGAACCCCCCGCCTTCGCACCATCACCCTCAGCCTGTACACCAACTACCTACTGGTGGGTGCTGTGTACTTCGGCCTCTCGCTCAGCGGCGGCGACCTGAGCTCCGACCCGTTCCTGTACATGGTGCTGACGGGGGTCGTGGAGCTGCCGGCCTACACGCTGGTCATCCCCCTGGTGGCTCGCTACGGCAGGAGGGCTCCCGTTGTCGCCTTCTTCTTCATGGGCGCCGTGGCTCTTCTCGCTCTGCCCTTCGTGCCCACGGGTGAGTGAGGTTGTCTGGGGTGGAGGTTTTGTTTCATGAAATATGTAGGTTTCATAATGGAAAAATCTGAGAAAAATGAAAGCATGATTTCCTTCTTTCTCATCTTGTTCTTTTTTGTTCGTGTTGTTTCTTATGCCAAACAAAATTAGGAATTTACTGTCTACAAACATGTCTTCAGTCAATACCAAGAAGTTTCCCTGACAATCAAAACAGGAAAGTAAAACATTTAGCATAGAATACCCTTCAAAAATAATATCATAGAAAACGTTATTTTGAGAATTATAAGGGGGACTAAAATATTTAATTTTCCTCTCAGGTAGTGGGGAATCGATGACCTTAGCGCTTATGGGGAAGATGAGTATCGCTTCGGCCTTCCAGATCCTCGACTTTTACTCCTCAGAGCTCTTTCCACCGAGGTTAGGACGAGGGGCATGAGCACAGCCCTTGTCATGTCAAGGGTGGGGTCTACTTGTTCGCCTTTCATCACGGACTACTTGGTAAGTTTTTTTTTCTTCTTTCTTTTTTTTCTTTTCTTATTTTCTTTATTTTTAACAGGAATAAATCATGGTGAATGTTATTATTATTATTTTTTTATGGGAAGGGAATATTATGTAAGTAGTTTGAATGAGCTTGGATGTGTTTTAGATTTTTACCAATCACTCTGCATGACAGCAAGATATGACAGTCTTCTTGCTTTTTGTTTAAATCTCTATGATTTTTATAACGCTCTCTCTCCCTCCCTCTCCCCTCCCTTTTCCTTCCCTGTTCCTTCCTATCCTTCCTCCCTCTCTCCTTAATCCTCCCTCCCTCTCCTCTCTCCCTCCCTCTTCCTCCTCGCCAGGGCCCCTTGTACCCGTGGGCGCCGTCAGCAGTGTTCGGGGCGGCGTCGGTGCTCGCGGGCTGGCCACGCTCGCCCTGCCGGAGACGCTGCACGTGCCTCTCCCGGACACCATCGCACACCTGGAGGAGCGGGAGATCAGGACCAGGTAATTCGGCTGGAGGTTTACTTTGGAGTTGTTCGTCTGTTCCTTTCTTTATCATCCGTTTTTTATTATTTATTTATTTATTTATTTATTTATTTATTTTGTTATTGATGTTATCTGTGTTGTTAAGATCATTATCGTTGTCGGTATGATCTCTTCTGTTATTATTTTATTATTCATTTCCTGTTGTTGTTATTGTTTTTTTTCGTTTTTTTTTCGTCTCCCCTAGTTTACTGTTTTTGCTGTCTTTTCTGTTTGTTTCTTACCTTTTTTTCTTTCTTTGCTGCTTTTTTCATTTCGAGATATATATATTTTTTTTTCTTTTTTACCGGTATAATGATTTTGTATGGGATTTTGAAATATAACTCTTGTCGACCAAGAGCTCTTACATTAATATCTGTAATCTCTGTAAAACAACTCTAGGAAATAATATTTGCATTGATCATTACTTACGTCGAGATAGACAGGCGCCTGACTGACTTATATACGGACAGACAGTAAACAGACAGATTGACGGACAGATAAACACCTGACTGACTCTGACTTACAGACTGACGGACAGACTGACTGACTGACAGAAAGAAATACAGACAGAGACAGACTGATAAACAAACGGAAAGATAGACTAAAAGACATATAAACCAAAGGACGGACTGAGACAGACAGACAAACCGAAAGATAAACTAACTGAAGCGACGACATACATAATTATAGCTTTGAGTCCTATTTCCCTTCCTTCCAACAGCGGGTTCCTGCGACTCCCTGTCCGCGATCCCAGAATCCCTACCATTTACGTCAGCCGGGATTCCACTCCTAGGGGATTCCACTCCGGATTCCACTCCTAGGGGATTCCACTGGGGATTCCACTCCCACTCCAGGGGTCCTAGGGGATTCCAAAGGGGATTCACTCCAAGGGGATTCCAAGGGGATTCCACTGGGGGATTCCACTCCTAGGGGATTCCAAGGGGATTCACTCCTAGGGGATTCCACTGGATTCCACTCCTAGGGGATTCCACTCCTAGGGGATTCCACTCGGGGATTCCACTCCTAGGGGATTCCACTCCAGGGGATTCCAGGGGGATTCCACTAGGGGCCACTCCAGGGGATTCCACTCCGGGGATTCCACTCCAAGGGGGGGGATTCCACTCCAGGGGATTCCACTCCAGGGGATTCCACTCCTCCACCCTAGGGGATTCCACTCCAAGGGGATTCCACTCCTAGGGGATTCCACTCCTAGGGGATTCCACTCCTAGGGAGGGGATTCCACCACCTAGGGGATTCCACTCCAAGGGATTCCACTCCTAGGGGACTCCACTCCAAGGGGATTCCACTCCCACTCCTAGGGGATTCCACTAGGGGATTCCACTCCAAGGGGGGGATTCCACTCCAGGGGATTCCAAGGGGATTCCAAGGGATTCCACTCCTAGGGGATTCCACTCCAAGGGGATTCCACTCCTAGGGGATTCCACTCCGGGGATTCCACTCCAAGGGGATTCCACTAGGGGGGGATTCCACTCCTAGGGGATTCCACTCCAAGGGGATTCCACTCCAAGGGGACTCCACTCCAGGGGATTCCACTCCTAGGGATTCCACCACTCCAAGGGGATTCCACTCCGGATTCCACTCCAAGGGATTGGGATTCCACTCCTCCAAGGGATTCCACTCCTAGGGGATTCCACAAGGGGATTCCACTCCTAGGGGATTCCACAAGGGGATTCCACTCCTAGGGGGGGATTCCACTCCAAGGGGATTCCACTCCAAGGGGATTCCACTCCAGGGATTCCACTCCAAGGGGATTCCACTCCAAGGGGATTCCACTCCAAGGGGATTCCACTAGGGGATTCCACTCCTAGGGGATTCCACTCCAAGGGGACTCCAAGGGGATTTTGCCGACTACGAGTAACGGTGTAGATGAATGACTTTATGAAATGCTTTGTATATGTTGAAGATTTTCGATAGAGTCGAAAATTGAAATTAAAATGATGTAACGTGAGTGTTCACTTCACTGGCAACACCGACAACAGGGTGAGTCACAGGGGAATATGTACATATCTTTTCCGTATACACACTTAATAACAAATGAATGTATATGAATTTTGTCCCGAAAAAGTCTTAATATGATATGCATATGCTGCATGTCCTCCACTAATACCTCTTGACCTGTTACCTGATCGCCTCCATTTGGTGTCTGTATTACCCTCATACTTGTATTTATTTAACCCCATTCATTATAACTATTTCGAAATGTAAGGTATGTGTGTAAAATATGTTAGATTATCAGATAAGGAATTTCTCGAAAAGGAAGGGGGGAGACAGAGTAATCAAATAATAATAATGTTAATGATGATAATAATTACGATGATAATTACAATAACTATCATAAGAAAAAACAGAAGTTATTGCATCTTATCTTAATATTAGGAACTGCGAGCCACTCTCAATTGTTAACATTAATGTCACATTGTCTCATGGAAATGTTTTACACTAAAATTGTATACAAATATTCTTCCTAAGAAAATAAACATTATGTACATTTTACTTCAATTCTTTTCGTATCCTAAGAGCTCGGAAATCAATGGTTTTGTCCCAGAAAAGCCTTCAGGTGAAGTGAAGTCATATTTTTCCTGTCAACCTTTATTTAAACTCTGAACTCCAACGACCTGACTGAAAAAAATGTGTTAACCCTCCGGCGCAATGACCAGTAAATGTTGCATGACCTTTGGGAACTCTGAGAGAGAGAGAGAGAGAGAGAGGAATAATGATTTTGATATATGTCGTCTCGCTGTAACTACTGTAACGATAATATGACCTCGACATTTTAACCGTAGAAATATTAGTCCTAGAGAGAGAGAGAGAGAGAGAGAGAGAGAGAGAGAGAGAGAGAGAGAGAGAGAGAGAGAGAGAGAGAGAGAGAGAGATAGAGAGAGAGAGAGAGAGAGAGAGAGAGAGAGAGAGAGAGAGAGAGAGAGAGAGAGAGAGAGAGAGAGAGAGAGAGAGAGAGAGAGAGAGAGAGAGAGAGAGAGAGAGGAGAGAGAGAGAGAGAGAGAGAGAGAGAGAGAGAGAGAGAGAGAGAGAGAGAGAGAGAGAGAGAGAGAGAGAGAGAGAGAGAGAGAGAGAGAGAGAGAGAGAGAGAGAGGAGAGAGAGAGAGAGAGAGAGAGAGAGAGAGAGAGAGAGAGAGAGAGAGAGAGAGAGAGAGAGAGAGAGAGAGAGAGAGAGAGAGAGAGAGAGAGAGGGGGGGGGTGAGGAAAAAGAGAGTTTGTGCTTATATATGTGTAATAATAATTTAGGGTTTGGTGGGACAGGCTCTTGTGACATCAGCCAAATTGTGGTTTGTCTGTTTATTTGTGCTTCTAAACTACCCCTGTGTGCGAGGAATGGCCGGGGTTGCCATCCACTGTCAGGGGGGGGAGTTGAACGCAAGACAGCAAGACGAGAACGTATGTGTGTGTGTGTGTTGCCGAAATATACCAAGCTTAAATTCACTAAATTCCTGATTACGTCTATTCTTAGGCAATAAAACCACCAATCCCTCCCTTCTAATATTCATGAATTTTCTTTTCTGCACCTTACTTTTGATTCGACTGCTTCATTTCTTTCATAAATGTCACCCCTAGACTAATTTTGGTGCCGTCTCTACACCTCAAAAATCGTAATGATAAAAAAGTGACAATGGAACGATGAAGTCACAGAATACGATTATTCAGGTACTTTTAACATTCTACTGGAAGCATCCTTGGCGTTTTCCTTTTGATATGAAAATAACTGCGTATTAAGTAGTTTAATGGTTTTCTATTGACCTTTTTTATATGATATTAAGAAGAATAATTTCTTTTACGAAAACTTTGTTTTCGTATTTTGTTTCTACTGTGTATTGATATATTCATCTATTGATCTATATGTTCATCTATTAAGTTATCTATCAATATTTCCATCTTTATGTATAAATATGTGTGTGTGAGAGAGAGATAGAAAGATAGATAGAGAAAATATACACAATTAAAGACACATCGTTCAGTTTTTAGGAATTAGAAAGAATACAGTGCAACTACAGTGCAATTTGCAAACAGAAAAATCAAAAGCAGGTGCGGTCAATATCTGATGCACTTAAAAAATCACACACTGGAGAGGACACACGGTTAACTAATATTAAAGCGAGTAGGTAGCTATGATCTTGTAGCGGATGACAAGGTAGCAAAGCGTGAGTAATTGTTTAATCAATAGTATTATCAATATCAAGATCATGGTTCTATACCAAGAGTTTAGTATTCCAATGATTTAAACATTAAAAAATATATATATATCTAAAAATCTCACGTCCTTTCGAGAATGGAAAATTATCAACCTATTCAAGTCTATACAGTAATGCCATGTATAGTGAGTATCTTGATATTTGTTGAGTGAAACAATATTTGGAACAAGGACTTCCTATACCAAAAGGAGCGAAACGACAGCGCACGATCCCTTCTCTATATCACTATGCGGAGAGAGAAATGAGAGAAAATGAAGAGTATTTGCCAATGATCTTATAATAAAATTACGTGTACCCAAAAAGATCAAAGTCCTGACTGAACAAATGTCGTATCTCCACAGTTTCTTTCGCAACACTGCCAAAATAGGCCTCGTCAGAAACCCGAAGACTCGTTGTGCTCGTGTGGAAATGCCCGATATTTACGGCCGGATCTATCCCTACGTCATCAAACACGAGTCTGGCTTCCTGGCTTATGTTCTCCATGTGCAGGATGTA